CTGCAGCCTCTGCCCTCCGACCTCTGCGGCGGTAACTGGCTTCTCCGTCATCCTCCCAGGGGTCTGATCCTGCAGGACCTGACCTTCGTCCACCTCGGCAACCCTGACTATGTGGACGGCAAGGTGAACTTCTCCAAGCGCTGGCAGCAGTTCAACATCCTGGACAGCATGCGGTGCTTCCAGCAGGCGTGAGTGCCGGGACGCCGCGGGTGGGGCGGGCCCAGGACGGAGGGCGGCCGTGCTGTGGCGCTGTGGCCAAGTACCCTGTCGTGAGGCAGCCTCTGAGGGTGTGGCCGCCCCGCCGCAGGCACTATGACATCCGCAGGGACGACGACATCATCAGCTTCTTCAACGACTTCAGCGACCACCTGGCCGAGGAGGCCCTGTGGGAGCTCTCTCTGAAAATCAAGCCCCGGAACGTGACCCGGAGGAAGACAGACCGGGAGGAGAAGACCTAGGAGCGGCTCACGCCGGACCTGACCGCGCGAGAGGCCCGGAGAGAACCCAGGGCACAGGGAGCGGAGCGCAGGGGCCCAGGATGACTGGTGAACCGGGCCTGGCTCAGTTTTCCGCTTTCACCTCCACGTCCTGCCCGCCCCTCCCGCTCTCGGTGGAGGTGGCTTGGTGGCAGGGCTGGCGGGGGCACCTGCTCCTCCGCCCTAGGGTGGGTGCACGTTTCGCCGGAGTCCTGACAGGTGGCCCTGGGGCTGGCTGCGCCTGTCGCGCTGTGCACACCCCGGGCTCCATCGCTGGCTGCACCACGCAGAGCCTGCCCCTGCCACCCGTGTCCTCCGCTCTGGGGGCAGGGACGAGGAGGTGGCGGGAGGACTTGGCCACCAGAGTCACCGCGGAACTGGGCCAGCACAGCCCCCGGACGGCCACCCCTCTGCTGTGCTCGCCGTGTGCCTTAAATGCCGTCTCCTCCCTTCCTGGTCCCCAGCATCCAGGTGGCCGGCAGGTCCCTCCAACGGAGGAGCCACCTGGGAGCCTGGCTACGGTGGGGACACCGAGGGCCCGGCAGAAGCACCCACCCTCCCCGCCGAGGCTGACCCTATCCACCTGGCTCTGTGGCCTCCAACCTGGGCCAGCGGGCAGTCAGGGTCCAGAGGTGCCAGCGGCCCCGCCCTAGGCCTGACCCGTTGTGCTTCCAGTGCAGGGTCAGGAGCGCCAGGACCCGCCTGTGCTTCCCGGAGCAGCGCAGCGGAAGGAGGGGAGGGTGGGGTGGACAGCGGTGTCTACCCGCAGGTGCGGAGGGTGCCACAAGGCAGAGCCGGGTGCTCTCACCCCGGAAATGGGCTGTTTCCGCTCCCTCTCGTGCTGTTCGTCCTGTAAATAGGGGAGCTGTGTGACTGTCCCCGAACCTGTCACTTTATTATTTAAGGAGTGTGCGTGTGCAGTTGGGTTTGTTGGCAGTATTGTGTAGGTTGGGCTTTAGTCTGCCCTCTCCTGGAAGTCCTCCATTTCATCCCTGCCTGCTGCAGCCATCACCCTTGTCCGGCTCGGCCAGCGCCACCCTGCACACATGGGGGCACCTGCCCGCCATGCCCGGCGGACACGGGTGCTGTGCGGCAGGGTGGCCGCAGCAGAGCCGGTGCTGGAGGATGCAGACGGGCAGCGTCCCTCAGTGACCGCGCAAGAGGCCAGTGTGGGTGACGTGTGTGTAACTTATTGGCCGACGGGCCGTCCCTGGGAGCCGGGAGAGTCCGGGGTGTCCGGTCCCCTGAGGACGCTCAGGCCTCCCTGCAGGTGCCGTGGAGCGGGGCCGGCACATGCCGCAGGCCCTGTCCGAACCCCGACCTGATGCCCCAGCTCACGGTTCTGCGGCTGCCCTGTGACCTCCTGGCGTCACGGTGTCACCGACCCCACTGATGGTCCCACCGTGGCATCTTCCTGCAGTCCTTTCAAATGTGTCATTTTTATATGAAAGAAAAATAAACACATGACCGCCGCCCGGTGACGTCCTGTCTGTCCCAGCCTGCTCGCTGTGACTGGGAGTCAGGCTCCTATCCAGAATGTCCCCTCTGGGGCCACTGTCCCATCCCCGCTCCAGGATGGCACCGGTGCCCAGTGCCCGAAAGCGCTGTCTGCCTAGCACTCTGAGTCCCTGTCCCCTCCCGTCCAGGGCTGCTGTGTCCGTCCACATCCACTGAGCCCAGGGAGGACGAGGCAGTCTGCCCTCTACCCTCCACACACTCCCAGAGCCATGCCACCTGCTGTCACCCCACAGGCACCTTCCCTGAGCAGGGTGGGGGGGTGGCGAGAGGCGGCCCCTATGGCCTCAGCGCTCGGCCCTGCTCCTGTGCCCGGGGCAGATGCCACCCAGAAGGCCAGCTGAGTCCGCCCCTGTGCGGGAGACAGCCGACCCCAGGGGCCACACTTAGACAAGGTGCCGGGCGGGCCGATCCTCCCGGGAGCACCCAGGGCTTCAGGAGTGAGCAGGAACTTCTGTCAGCCCCAGTGGGGACCGGGCCTCGGGTGACTCGGGGCCCAGAGAGGGACCTGTGTGCCCCTGCATCCACTGCCGGCTCCCGAGGCAGCCAGGTGCTCAGTGGACACAGCACCCTAGGGACGGCGCCTTGCACACACAGGCTGCAGGCTGGAGGAGACGGCCCTGGCCCTACCACAGCTCACTGACCATGGGGCCTCAGGAGCGGCTGGGAGAGGGTGCAGGGACAACATCCGCCCCGGCCGTGCAGTCTGTGGGAACAGGAGCTCCTCTGTCCCAGCTCTTGGGTGCTCGGCACTCTGGACTGCCACGCCTCGTGTGGCCTTAGAGAAAAGCAAAATTGCAGCTCAGGAGGAGCTGCAAGCTGAGCAGGGTTGCACAGGCAAATCACAGCAAAGGGTGGAACCCAGGGGTTCTCCACAACACTGAGGCTGAGGCAGGAGGGTCATCCTGAGTTCCAGGCCAGTCTGGGAGACAGTGAAACCCTGTCTCAAAGCACAGAGGAAATTTTAGAGAATAATACGCAATATCCATTTATGGTTTTTACTTTAAAACACGATGCTGTGTCCTCATCCACCTTAGTCACCGGATCTGGCACTGCGGGACTTGTGGCTCCACCCCAAAGTCAAAATGTCCGTGACAGGGATTTTTTTTTTTTTTTTTGAGACAGGGTCTCACTATGTAGTCCAGGCTGGCCTTAAATTCACTGGGTAGCCCACGCTGGCCTCAAAATGCCTCAGCCTCCCGAGTCCTGGGATTACAGGTGCGCGCCACCACGCCCAATGAAAGGGAAATGCTTTGAACCGATACAGGACAAGGCAGCCACGATAGCACAGCTAAAGACCCTCAAGAAAGGAGACTGCAGGGCTGGGGATTTAGCTCAGTGGTTCCAGTGCCCACTTCTCAAGCACAAGGTCCCGAGTTCAATCCCCGGTCCTAAGAAAGAAGACTCCAGAGCTGCTGCAGAAAGTGGCCAGGACAGTGGGATGTGTTCGTTTGCAGTGGAGGGGGGGATTTGAGGGAGATGCATGGCAGTGTCTCTTCTATAACAAGTTCTTTTTAAAAAAGCAAACATTCACTGTATCTTTCAACCACATCCCCTAAGTTTATGAGCCTCAGAGATCTGAGCTGGTTTCTGTCCTTGACACCCTTCAAGCTGGAGTAGGGGTCTGGGTTGCTGGTGCCCTGGCACCAACAGGAACCCCCCAGCTCTCAGTGGGTAAAATTACCCTCATCCTAAGCCTCTGGGTCTTATGTTTCCACCTATAAGAACCAGACACAGACACAGGAGACAGGCAGGTCCATGGGCTCCAAGCCAGGCGTGGTACACCCCTGTAATCCCAGCACCTGGAGGCTGAGGCAGGGGGATCTCTGCAAGTTCAAGGCCATTCTGGGCTACATAGTATAGCCCTGTCTCAAGTAAATAAAGCACAGGCCCAAACCTGAGGGCACAGAATCCTGCCTTCAGGCCTGAGCTCTGGGAGTCAGCAGATATGGACAGGACAGAGCAGAGCTTATGGTGTCCTGAGAGTGACCCAGGATGCAGAATTGTGATGAATAACTGAAAAACAGAAACTGGAAAGTGGTTTCCGTCAGAAAAGCACTACCTAGGGCTGGGTGTGGTGGCGCACGCCTGAAATCCAGCACAGGCAGGGTGTGGAAAGCCAGTCAGCCCGGTCCCGGCCTTTGATCTGAGTTGTGGAAAGCAGCAAGTCCAGGGTTTATGATGGAGGCACTGCTTGGTGGGACAGCCCTACGAGAACCACAATAAAAGGGAAATTTCTCGTACATACAAATCATCATAAATGGCTAAATGAAGCCCAGTGGTGGTGCCTTAGTCACAGCTACTTGGGAGGCTGAGTGTTAAGGTTGCCTGAGCCAGGAGTTCGAGACCAGCCTGGTTGACATGGGAGATGCTGTCTCCAACAAATAGGAAAGTAAAATGTCCAGGACTCATGATGGTAGGGGGACCAGGCTGCCCCAAATCAAGACTTACTATGGAGCCCTATGACGGATGTGACAGTGGCACAAAGACAACTAAAGCCGGGCGTGGTGGCACACACCTGTCATCCCAGCACTTGGGAGGCTGAGGCAGGAGGATCGCTGTGAGTTCGAGACCAGCCTGGGCTACATAGTGAGTTCCAGGTCAGTCTCGGCTACATAGGGAGACCCTGTCTCAAACAAACAAGCAAAAAAGAAGCAACTAACTAGAGGACAGATCTGAACATGAGTCAGCCAATAAGGTGTTGGGGTGTAGGAGCCAACAGGAGGACCTTTGTGACTAGGAACCCCCGCTACTAGCTGAAGCCACTAAAAGCACTGATCACAAAGGAAAAGGTAGGCTTGACTCCATTAAAATTAAGATTTCTCACTAGGTGGTTCAGGCGACCTTGAACTGGCCTTTGACTCATGGTGATCCTGCCTCAGCTTCCAGAGTTCTGGGGATAGGTGTGCACCACTGTGCCCGGCTTGGAACAGCGTTGCAGTCTCTCGCCTTCTGTCATCTTCAGCTCCTTAGCAGAAATGCGGAACTTCAAGCTCCAATGAGGAGCAGAATCTGCTTTTTTTTTTTTTTTTGTACCAGGGATCGAATTCGGGTCCTTACGCTTGTGAAGCAGGTGGTGGCACCACTGAGCTAAATCCCCGGCCATTTTTCATTTTTGGTTTTTGTCTTGGTACCGGGGATCAAACTTGGAATTTTGCACTTGCAAGACAGGCAGCGGAACCACTGAGCTACATCCCCAGTCCTAGAATCTACATTTTAATTGGGTCCCCGGGACTTTAATACTTTAACACTCAAGGCACAGGGGCTGGGTGATTTTTCCATTCTGATTTACTTATTTAACAGTTTCGGCATGTGTGAGCCCTTGGGCTCAGATCCCAGCGCTGGAAAAGAACAAAAACCGAGTCCCATGAGAAGAACCACAGTTACTTTGTGGCACATACCCACCCTTAGACGTCCTCCTCCTCCTCCTCCTCCTCCGGTGGCCGGCGCGGCCCCCTTCTGGCCCAGCCTGTCCATGGCTCTGCTGGCATCGCCACTCGGCGTGAGCGGCAGGCAGAGGCCCAGAGCTGTCCAGGGCCAACAGCATCTCAGAGCGCCCAGGCCGGGCTGTGGACAGATGTGGCGCCTCCCTCTTCCGGGACAGGTGCGGCAGCAGGCAGGGCTGAAGCAACAGGTCCTTCCAGATGGCTCTGAAGATGGCTCTGTCCCGCTGCGGGCTCTCAAGGTCAAGGCAAGGCAAACGCCCCTCAGAGGGGGCCACCACAGATGCCATGGCCTGAGGACCCTCTGAGGGCAACAGCTGGCCCCAAGGGAATCTGAGTCCACAGAAGGGGTGGCCAGGCCGGGACCCTTGGCCTCAGGGGAGGTAGAGAGCCACCACCATGTAGACGACCCAGCTGGTGGACACGAAGACCCCAAACAGCAGGCTGAAGAGCACCAGCGAGCGGGCCTTGTGCGAGGTCTCCTCAGCCCGGGCCAGGTCACCCCTGCCCAGCGCCACCCGGGTCTGCAACAGGACGGACGGCCAGTGTAGGGTGAGCGAGGGCCCACCAGGCCCATGGCCCACAGGGCCAAAGGGTCATTGTGCTTGTGGAGGGAGGGACAAAGGCTCAGCAACCTGCCCGGGCCTCACGGTGGGGGTGGACCCCAAGTCCCCCACGGCCGGGAGCCTCCAGAGCCCCACAGACCTACGCTAGAGCTGTGACCCCCAGCCTGGCTTGCAGATGGCCAGGCCCTAGCTGCCTGCTCTGTTAGAGTGGCACCCACTGGCCCTGCCCAGTCCC